CCCCTGATGGCTTTTTCTGTTTTACACTTTCTTTCTCTGTCTGACTAGCTTGAGAGGCCTTCTCTTTTACTTGAATCATTATGTCTTCTCCTTCCTCTACCATTGTCTGAACTGAAGGCTTTGGACTAAGCAAACAAGATATGAACGTCCACAATGGCAATGTGCCAACTGGCAGAGTCCCTGGGCTTTTCTTTTCTATTCTTTTTAAATCTTCACCATGATGGTTCCATTGTGATATATTTAACAACTCCTCCTTAAAAAGCCATGGGCTACATTTTTGTATTGTATCAACGTATGCCCTGATTGTTCTTGATTTTACTGAGATGCCTCCTTCCTCTAACAATTTACTTAACACTCTTTCAGTTTGTTTTTTACTAATTTCTGATCCCGTATTTCTACTATAATACAACCCAACAAGATGACGCCAAACAAAACCGAGACAGAATGAAATAAAAAGGGAACAACAAAAAGTCATTATAGCCTTTCTATCCTCCTGACATGTGCATCCGTCCTTTCTCCCTATCTGTTCCTCAGACGTAAATAGTTTTTCCTCAGATGTGCGCGGTTTTTCTTCCGTCTCACTCATCTCCAGGGACAGGCAACTTAAAACAAAAGTGAAGCAAAATAAAAGAGGAATCTTAAAATGGCTACCCATCCTCTCGCCCTGCCCTCAGGGGTGAGCAGTTTCACTTACCCTCAGTCGCTCCCCGTGCGAGCCACCAAATGCCGCAGTCTGGCTGGGCACAATCAGGAGCCACTTGTCAAAAGAAACTAACTTTATTTTTAGAACCACACATGCCAAACAAAACAGCCTCTCAGGAAAAACCCTCAGAGCCTCAACTGCCACCACCGGCTTTCCACAAGCCTCTCTCTCCCCCACAAGCATCTCTCCACCTCCCACAATCCTCCTGCTCTTGAGGCCGATTGGCTGGGTCACGTGGGCGGAGCCAAAAAAGTCCCCCAATGAGCAGCTCCGTGGTCTGAAAGGGCAGGGAAACAGCCCAATGAGCATCACCGCAGAGGAGCCAATCAGCTAGATGTTGCTGGGGCCGCTGTGAGCCAATCATCAGCCGGCAGCTGGAAGTTTGCTGGGGCCCCTTCGGCTGTGGCTCTCAACACCACTCCTTTCAACAAGTCCCACCTGCAGTTTCCACTATCTCCCAGTAGTCTACTCAGTTATGAATCCCTCAATGAATTAATCTGATGAAGTCAGAGCCTTGTGATCCAATCACTCCTCTAAATTCTTACCTCTGAACATTGCTGCACCTGGGGATCAATCCTTCATCACATGAGTCTTCAGGGGACATTTCAAATCCAAACCTAAACAGGCACCAAGAGTAGCTTCTATAATAGGTGTCAAAGGTCCCATGCTATCAGTTGACCCAGAGCAGGAAGGGGCTTCTGAATGGTGTAGGTTTGGCCAGCATCTTGGTGCCAACCATTCTGATCAGAGAACAGGTCCCCACCTTCAATAATCACATGAATTTACCCAACTGTCAGATAGCAGGTAAGATTTGCTTCCTTAGCTTACGGCCCCAAAGAATGTGTCTTTAATTTTCTGTGTACTTTTCTAAGTGGTAAACCAAGCAACAAGGCCATTCACAACAGCTCAATTCAGTAAAATGTGGGAAGGCTCATCCAGGGCCATGTTCACCAGACTAGGAAAGGGACAGCTTTGAGCTCTTTGCCTATAGAGCAGAGCAGTGGCGTCCACTTTCAGTTTACATGCTGTTCCTGGGGTTACACAGCCACAGCAGCCCAATGAACCCTATCAGGTAAAACTTAGCTAAGCAATTAGTGAATGAGGCCCAGGCATTTAGGGGAATCTCTGAGACTGGTAGTGTCCATTGAGCCACATCTCTGCCTTAGTGGGTTTCTCCCAATGCCATAACTGTCAGTTTTTCATATAAAACTCAGATGCTGCTGCTTAGGATCAGGGGATGACTGCTCTCCTAAGTACACAATTTCTATTTGGCTAGCAATGCCTTTTAGACTCTTCCCGTTTTAAAAAATCATCTGGTTCTACTTGTCTCCATACAAATGAGAATTTCAGTCTGAAGAGTGCCAAGCCTTGGCTAACAGAGTAATTGGTTTTTCAAAAGGGGTGTATGTGGTGGCCATTTCCAGCAGGTGGCTCTGTGATGGTGAAAATCACCTGAGTACCTGGGCTGCAATCATTTGAAAGTAAAGCTGGGATTTCCTTCTCTGGATTCCTTACTGTTCTTGCCAGACCACTTGGGAGGGGAAAATGGAAGTGGCTTGAGGAATGATCCTCAAGTCCCACTATCACCCCCGAATGGGGGAGTTTTCTCTAACACTTGCTGGGTCTGAGTGCAAGCTCTTGTCCCACTGCTTCCTACTATAAAACATGGAGCCCTACTGTTGAATCTGGGTAGCTTTCCCCTACAGGAACCAGAGAAATCTAACACAGGCATGTCAAGAACTGGAGCATATGACAGCCATCAGGAAACTCTGCTAATCTTACTCCTTTCCCCCATCACCCTGGGCTGAAAGATCAGGGGGGAAGCCAGCCAACCTGCCTGCTGGGCATGTGGAGACTGCAGAGGGGCTATAGGAGTCCTGCTTTTTGATCTGTTAGTGCATGACCTACACAGAAGTAACTTTTTAAAAGCAGTCCACCTTAATTTTTTTAGGGGGGATGCTGGGTGTTGTGTTTCTGCCCCCATTGTCATATCATCCCTGAAAGCTTGCCTGGTTTTAGCATAAGGGTAGGTCTTCCAGGGCAGCAGGGCTTATTTATTTTATTTTATTTATATTTTGCTCCCTGATGAAGGCCCCAGCTTCTCTGCTAGCCCCCTATCTCATAATCAAACAAACTTGTGGTACCATTTGGGCAACCTTTCACACTGCTCAGCCTCTAAACCATGACCCCACTTCAGTTTGTTATCAAGTACAATGGTAGGAGATCCTGACTCTCTCCCCACCCTTCACTTGAGCGAAGGCTTTTGCTGTTGGATCCCAGAGAGACTTCTTTTATCTCTAATCCTGACCCATGTTTTACTTCCTGTTCCAGAGAACCATGTCTATTGGTGTCCAATTCTTGTTGCCAAAGCTATTGAGTTTGGGATTTGGCTTACATGCTTTAATAAGTTAGCCTGTTAATGATTCATGGTTATTGGCAGAAAACACAAAAATCCTGATTCAGAGACAAAGGACTTTATAGAACAACAAGCAACATAAGCACCAGCAAATTTGTTTGGTTCCCTTTGCTTCCCATGGGAGATGTATGGGCCCAGATGGAGCCTACACATGCAGTAGGTTGCTTTGCAGCTGAGATGGGGAAATGTACAGCTTTTACAGCAAGCATAGCAAGCCTGCTCTTTGTACAAGGGAAGATGTGAGTCTTTTTTGTAAGGAAAGAACTGAATGAAGGAAATAAAGAGAGAGGAGAGGTGGCTCAGCAGTTACACTGGTTTATTCAGGAACAAATCTGTGGAGGGGGGCACAGTGGAGACTGAGACCCCTCTTCTGCTTACAGCCTCAGAAATTTATAGGAGTATGAGGGAGTAGGGGAATTTTTGAGGTTAGCCCGTTGCTAGAAGGTTGTCAGAGAAGGATTCTTGTGGAGTCACATACATTCTTTGAGGTGGTCACTGTTCTATATTGAATCAGGTGTTTTCAGGATTCTAGTCCCAGATAATGATTTCCTTTCTTTTTATGATGATGGAATATTATCTGGGGTTTAAGGTCAAGCTGAGTCAGAGTGACTATGAGGTGACTCTTGTTCTAAGATGGAGGCTATGCTTCAGAATGGCATTCCTGTGTCAAGTTCTCCCTAACATTCCTGCCTTTTTCTTTTTGATAAGAAAGAGGTGATGTCTCTTTAAACTATTTCCATATTCCTTTTGATGGATAGCTCAGAGGTTCTGATCCCTCAGGGCAAAGCCCCACTGTAAGATTTGGGGATAAAGAGTCTATTTTTTGTCAAGTGAGAAAGCCACTTTGAAAGGGGTTAAGTAACCATGAGAGTGTTTTTCAGGGTATCAGTTTTAAAGGTGTATTATAGAAAATGAGGACCTGGAAGTTGATTCTTTCACAACTGTATCCACACATACTTTGGAAAGATGTGCTGATCCGCCATTGCACACTTCTACCCTCCTGTCTGAAGACTGCTGCTTTCTGACATGAGGGCCAAGCAAGACTACCAGTGCCCATTCTTCCACTGAATTTTGGTGAGGCTTACTTTTTAACTTTATTTTTAAAAATTTCTTTTATTTAAAATCCATACAGAAGTTTAAATATTTTCTTCTCCACCTTGGTGGACTACCTTCAGCATCCCTTGGCTCCTGGCACCGCAGTTCAGGAGTAATCAGTAGCACCACTTCTGAAAACTTGCTGGGAGTTATCAGGCCAGGTTCTGGGACAAACACCGTGAGTGAACTACAACTGGACTGAGCCCCAGAGCAATAGAATTGATCGTATGGAAGGTTCTGGGAGCCCACGACCTGTCCCCACGACTGTCCTTGGCAGAATTTTTTACAAATCAAGCCACCCCAGTTCGAGGAACTTCACTCTACTTGCATCTTTCTTTCCTTGACACTGCCTACTTTGACCTGTTCTTCTTGCTCTAGAGGAATAAGCAGAATAATAAGGACTTGAAAAAAACAAGGGATGACTAGATCTGAGGGGGTATCTGATCTTTTGCTCAGATTCTCACTAGGGTACTGCCCCCAAGACCGTGGTGCACATCCCTGCGCCCTGAGGCCCAGGGCCTCTGTCGGCCTTTTTCCTCCAAGCAGCCAGCAGGCGGCGCAGCCGGCCGCCTGCGTGGGGGCGACAGGCCCCCGAATGCCGTGTTAGCGCTCGGGCCTTCGCCCCTAGCAGTCGGTCTTCTGCCCAGAGTCAGCAAACCATCGAGAGTTGAGGACCTCCCATTTTCCTAGAGAGAACAAGTGGGCGTTGGGGGCCGGAGGCGTGGGGGGTGGCTGGTGAAAAGAATGACCCGGAAGCGAAATGCGAAGAAACTTCCGTTCTTTGTTCTGTCCCCGGTGTGTGGGTCTGTGACAGGGTCCAACCGGGCCTGGTCCGTGTCCGCCCCTCCCCCACCTCCTGTCCCTGTCTCTAGGGTAAGTCCGTCTGTCCCCGAGGCTCGCGGTGAGGCGGAGGCTGTGGTCGCCGGGGAAGGGGGTGACGTCCGTGCGGCTTGCCGCCTGCGGGGGTCCCCAGGCCCGCCGTAGCAGGGTGCGGGGAGGCACCCCTCCCTCCCCTATAGCTGGTCCCCGGGGACCCCAACACACGCGCACACGCACACATACACACACACACACACACACACACACACACACCACGGACCTTGCGTGGCGCAGGGAGGAAAGGGGCTCCAGTTCTGATTTTGTGGCTTAAACAGCTCCCAGCTCGAGTGTTTAAAAGTTCCAGTGTAGCCGTAGAGGCGTCCCTCTGTAAGACAGCGGATGACAGCGACCTCAACTTGCTGTTTGATGGTAATAGTTTTCGGCGATTGGGCAGGAGAGGAAGTTGACTTAGCTGACTTCATGGATCAGAGAGTGAACAATTAGAACTAAGGCTGGGAGCCGGGTGCAGACTCAGATTCTGGGCACTGTCCCGCTGGGAGCCGCCCATAAGTGGTGTCTTTTATGGGAGTGATCCAATAGGCTCTGGTTCCCGTTTTCAATCATATTGATCCCTAATTTGATCTGCTTTGGAAGTGGGATTGAACACAGAGTGGTGTTTATGCTCTGAAGGGCATGTGTAAACTCCACAAGAGGACAGCAGGATGATGAACTTGAAATTCATGGAATAGTTAGAGGAAGTTAAGGTATTTTGCCTCCAGAAGAGACGTCTGTGGAGAGTGGACATTGTTTGGTTTCAAGTGTTTGTTGAATAGCTGTTGAAGTTCCATTAGGGCACTAGATCTGGGGGGAGGTGAGGGTCCCCTGGAATGGGTTTTAGCATCCCTGAAGTACTCTCATAGCTATGCTATGCTGTGCACAGGTGGAACAGACTCACTGTTGAAATAGCTGTGTGTCCAGCAAGTTAGCTGACAGAATGATGGGAACTTCTTACCCTGGGTGAAGGTTCACCTGGAGAACCTTCAGCTGCATTTCAGATTTTTCCAGGTGCAACAGAATTATCAGGTTTTTTAAATATTAATCAGTATTTATTATTGTTATGTCCTCTTTTTAATCTAAATATTCGTATTAGAAATAAAGTTTACATGAATATTCCTTTTTCCCTTTAATCATGTAGCATTGGCATCAACTAAAATCAGAATTCCCAGGAACTTGAATAGAGGCTGCTAGATTCTCAGTCATTGTGACTTTGAATTCTAGGGAATAACTTCAAAGAAGGAAAGGACCAGACAGGTAAAGTTTTTCATAACCCATTCTCACTGCCAAGTGATCTTTCTTAGCCCCCAGGAGCAGCACCAGGGAAAGGGATGGGCAGGGGAAGGGCCCTGTCTGGGCTCAAAGCTTTGGGGGCACAATGGAGAGTTTCTTTCTGTGAGAAACGTTGTTTACTGATACAGACACAGGGAACTTGTTTTCAACAATATGCCTTTGAGTTCCAGCTTTGTTTAACACAGTTGTAAAGAGAGAGTATTGCCTTTTTCTCTGGATTCAGAGCTTTGACTTGCCTTTCTAAGGGAAGCTTGTTGTTTTGTTTTGTTTTTGGAGATGGGGTCTTGCTGTGTTGCCCTGGATGGTCTTGAGCTCATGGGTTCAAGCTAACCTTCCACCTCAGTTTCTGAATGTCTGAAACTACCACTGTTTCCAGCTTCTTAAGAGTTTGTTCTAAGAGTTGACTTGTTGTGGGTGTCTGCTTACAGTCTTGGAAATTGTAAAGTTGGTTGATAGGAAAAAAAGATGCCTGGCTCTGAAACAGCCTGACTCACCTTGATTGCCAGTGGGCCTGCCTCATGCCTGATTCAGTGTTTTCCACTGTGAAATGCCATTGGCATTGGCATTGGGCATACTGTATCCTTGCTATCCCCAAACTAGACTTGTGTGCTTTCTCGTGGCTCTCGGACAAGGCTCTTCGCGCTGTTATGCCTTAGGTAAATAAAGCAGCCTATAATGACGAAGCAGATACTTTTTTGCATTTCTGATTTTTTTTTTTAACTCCTTGCTATAGTGCCTTGCAGTATAGCTGGCTTTCAACAAATATGTGAGCAAATGACTAAATAGATAAAAGGTAGTGGATAAAACCTTGAGTAATTTTTTGTTTTGTTTTGTTTTTGTGTTGGTATGCTCTGGTGGCTGCTGAATATGCTGGATGTACTGATCATGTCACAGCCATTATCTGAAGTAGAAACTCCTACTTGAGGTTCAAACCTTACTAGAGAAACAGAGAGGGCTGGGGATGTGGCTCAAGCGGTAGCGTGCTCGCCTGGCATGCATGCGGCCCGGGTTCGATCCTCAGCACCACATACAAACAAGGATGTTGTGTCCGCCAAAAACTGAAAAATAAATATTAAAAAATAAAAAAAAAAAACTAGAGAAACAGAGAATAGACTTTTTGATGATATCAACTGAGGAGTGAAGACATTTGTGGGGCATAAAAGCAGAATAATGAAGAACCTTATGTTTAAAAAAAAAAAAAATTGGTCCCTGCTGGAGAAACTTATATTCTGATCCAAAGAAATGTCTTATTAGAAGAGGAAGATAAAACAAAGCTGCTGCCTTCTCAGTGAGAGGAAGCACAGAAACTGGGAACTGGGATTATTATTTTCATCCTTGTGAATATATATACTCACTTTTTGTTTTTATAAATATCACTGAGAAGCCAGGTGTGGTGGTGCACATCTGTAATCGCATAAACTCAAGAGATTGAGATAGGAGGATCTTAAGTTCGAGCCCAGTCTCAGAGAGTTGTCAGGAGAGTTGGGATAAGCCCTTTTTGTGATTTTTGTGTAATTTCATTATAGGGAGTGGGTGTCGCCAGTATCAAAAGACCAGTCCTAGTTGCTGGGATGCTTACTATTGTGGATATTAACTGAGATGCTTGTTCCCCTCTTTGTGTATTCAAGAGATGTTTTTTAAATTATCTTTAAACTTTTACTTCTGCAGTGCTTCCTCATTCTCATTCAACATCTGCTTCCTGCTGAGTCTTCAGATAGGAGACCAGAAACCAGAGCATCTAGCCCTACCCATGGAAACTCAAGCCAATCATGTATCTCAGGAACCTCAGGCCCTGCTTGAGAGTGGTGAGGAATAGGGATTCACTTATTTCTATTCCATCATTCAGAAATCGTTTATTGAAATCTCTCATTCACCAGATACTAGAATAACTGCTAGAATCCAGATGTGATAAGACATACTTCTTGCTATTCGGTAACTTACCATCTAATGGGGGAAGTTTAACCGAAATTTATTAATTTAATTAATAATTAATTTAATCTTTAATTAATACACAGCTTGATAGGTGTTATAAGTGAGGCATTTTGAAGGATTGTAGGCACCTCATGCAGGATTAAGAAAACTCAATCCCTTAATTCCATTTTTCAGGCATCTGTAACAGACAACTTCATGGTCATAATTTGGGCTCTTCAGGAGCAAATTCTTAGAATAGACTTTGGGGAATCATTTTGTAGGTGGGCAAAAGGATAAAGTGGATATTTACTAAAATATATCTTGCTTTTATAGACTATCTCTAACTTTTGAACTAGTTTCAGCCTGAATGGGAATTGTTTTCATGCTTATCAGGAAAAAGCATTTAGGACTCTTTTTGTCAGGACTAGTATATCTAGTGGTTTAGAGTCTCTAAGAGACAAATATGAAAAGTTATGTGGTCAAGCACAGGAACAGGAAATATTTATAGTATATAGATTTTATCTGGGAATAAAGAAAAAGTAGATGAGCTTTATTTTCATTCAGGGCTGGGGAGAAGCTGCTCGTTTTCCTCTGCCTGAGAACTTCATGTGGGAATTTGATCTCAGAGATGTGGAAGAATGATAGAAAAGATGTGAGAGTGTAGCCTGTTCCTGACTCAGCTTGGGAGAGTGGACAAGAACACAGGAAAGATAAAACTAGGCATTTTCATTAAGAAGAGTGACCAGAGGTCAGAGACAAGACAGACTCACTTCTGGGCCCTTTTATTATCTTTCAGCTCTTCCTTCTTCGAAAGTTCCTGCCTTTTCTGACAAGGACAGCCTGGGGGATGAGATGTTGGCAGCTGCACTCCTAAAGGCCAAGTCCCAGGTGAGCTCTGGTTCCCTTCACCCATTTTCTTCCCAATTTGTGGGCAGCTTTTGTGCAGTGACATCCCATTCAGTGTCCTAAATCTGGATTCTGACCATTAGGACTACTTTCCTACTGAGTCACAGTCCTTCACCTTCTGTCATAGACTCTTACCTCTCATTCTCTATTCAGACCTCCTTTCCCCACTTCCCAAAGAGGCATTAGTCAACCCCATCCTGAGTTGTGTTCTTGGTGCTGCTGGTCCCAGCCCTCACCCTAAAATTGTGTGCATTGCTGTGTTGTTTCAGGAGTTGGTGACATTTGAAGATGTAGCTGTGTACTTTATCCGGAAGGAGTGGAAGCGTTTGGAACCTGCTCAGAGGGATCTCTATAGGGAAGTGATGCTAGAGAATTATGGGAATGTATTCTCACTGGGTAAGGAGCTGCATATTCTCAACAGAGCTCCCGGCTGTCTGGTGGCTTCCTTGCTTGCTAGAAACAGTCCAGTGACTAAAAACAAGTAGTGATTGACTCAGCCTCAAAAAATTCTAATAATAATAATTATTATTATTATACAATTTATACAATAATTTGCAGTTTTCATGTATATTCTCTCATAGTAATGCTGTAATTGAGGTTGCTAGTATTATCCTTTTTTTTTTTTTCCTTATACTGGGGATGGAACCCAGGGCCTTACACATGCTAGGCAAACACTCTACCACTGAGGTACATCCCAGCCCTATTGTCCTCATTTTATAGGTGAGGAAAGTAAGATCAGAGATCTCAAGTGCCTTGTGCATTGTCACAGAGCTATTAAGTGGCAAAAATTGATACCCAAGGGTCTTTTAACTCCAAATCTGATACTTTTCCACATGTTCTCTGAACATACAATCCAGAGATTTTTCTGAAGAATAAGTATGTTGGGATCCTTGCGTCCACGTGAAAATTCTGGGACTCTCCTTCCCTTCTCTGTTGAATTGCCCTAGGGACCTCTCGCTTTGTTTCGGTTCTCATGCACCTGCTGCTCTTATAGAAATATAAACTTGTAAGTAGAAATTACCTTCAAGATTAATTCCTCAGGGCTGGGGATACAGCTCAGTTAGTAGAGTGCTTGCCTTGCATGCATGAGACCCTAGGTTCAATCCCCAGTACCACCAGCACCACAACAACAAAAGATTAATTCCTCATCTCTTGCCCCACTTTTAGTGACATTGTTTTCCTGAGCAGAGCCAGGGGTCTTCCTTACTCCCAACTGAGACCTGCCTGTACAATTCCTTTCTGTTCATAGGAAATCTGAGATCTCGAATTGCACTCTGGGACAGCTTAGTATGAGCAGGATAAACTTCCTTGTCCCAAGACTCTCTCCATGAGTGGGATTCCCATTTGTGAATCCTGATACCATCTCTTGGCTGGAATGAGTGGAAGAGTTCAGGGTCCTGAGTTGGAAAGGAACTGAGAACAGAGAAGTCCAAAGAGATACCTGTTCAGGCCAAGGAGAAACAGCTGTGTCTATTTCTGACCCTCAGTGCCCTGTCTGCTTTAAAAAATATATAAACTAAAAATGCTAACTATCTGAACCCTTTACAGTTATTCTCTGTGCCTGAAGTTTCCTTTGGAAACTCCAGCAGAAGTAGTGAAAACAGAGGTCACATATGGTTTACATAGCCTCCCACACCAGCACAGCTTTCTAGGCCTGGAGCCCAGAGGTGGACTAAGCTGTCTTGCCTACTTCTGTGGGTGTTGCTTATGTGACGTGACTACAGATGGGATTGTTCTGCTCACATGGGGCCATTGAAATCCTCAGTATCTTCACCTTTCTGCTCCTTTCCACTCTCCCACATGTTTCTTAGTGCTCTCATCAACTTTCTCATCAGGTATCTATGTTAGTTTTTCATATTTGCTTTCTTCTCATTTTTTCTTTTTTCTTTTTTTAAAAATATTTTATTTATTTATTTTTATGTGGTGCTGAGGATCGAACCCAGCGCCTTGCAAGTGCTAGGCGAGCGCTCTACCACTGAGCCACAACTGCAGCCCCCTTCTTTTCTTTTTTTCTTTTTTCTGCAGTACTGAGCAGTAAGTAAGGGGAAGGATCTCAGAGCCTTGCACATGCTAGGCAAGTGCTGTGCTACTGAGCTACATCCCCAGTCCTTTTTAGTTTGAAACAGGATATTGCTAAGTTGCCATGCTGGCCTCAAACTTATGATCTTCTTTCCTGTCTCAGTTTCCCAAGTAGCTCGAATTATAGTCATGGGCCACCATGTCCTGTATCCCCATTATTTTTGTTTCAGTGGTACAGGGAATTGAACCCAGGGATGTTCTACCACTGAGCTACATTTCCAGCCCTTTTTACTTCTTATTTGAGACAGGGTCTCACTGAGTTGCTTAGTCTGGCCTCAAATTTGAGATCCTCCTACCTCAGCTTTCTAAGTCCCTAGGATTATAGGCATGAACCCTGACTCTCCTGTTTTTGTTTTTTCTTTTTCAATTTTGTTACTAGGATTGAGCACAGGAATTGAACCCAGGTGTGCTTTATCGCTGAGCAACATCCCCAGCCCTTTTTAAAATTTTTTTTTTATTTTGCCTCAGCATCTCACTAAGTTGCTTAGGGCCTCACTAGATTACTGAGGTGGACCTTGAATTTGTGATACTCCTGCCTCAGCCTTCTAAGTCACTGGGCATGCCCAGCTTCTCTGTCATTTTTTAAATTGTCTTTGCAGTAACCATCTATCTCCTGAGTTATATATGTAGACTTTGACTTCTCCTTGGAAGTCAATATGGCTTTCCTGTTAATAATTTTGGTTCCCAACTCTCCACCAAATCCATAAATCCTCTTTACATCCTCAGCTTTCTGTGTACTTTTAACTCTTTTCTCCTTGATTTTGCTTTTTGCCTTGCTCTTTCCCTGTTTCCTTAGCCTGTTTATCTTGTTTTACCTTAGCTACACTTAAGTAGGCCTCTTTTAGGTATGTACTTTTAGCACTACAAATACAAGTCACACAATTATCTTGTCCTCTGTATTTTATTCTTTTTTGCACAAGGAACAAGTGACATTTGCTTTTTTTTTTTTTTTTAATTGTGCTAGATGGTGAATCCAGAACTAAAAATGATCAAGAAATTTCTGAAGATACAGGATCACGTGGGGTGCTGTTAAGACGATTCCAGAAGGATATTTCTCAGGGTCTTAAGTTTGAAGAAACCTATGAACAAGAAGTTAGTCTAAAGAGGCAACTAGGGAACTCCTCTGGAGAAAGATTGAATAGGAAAATACAAGATTTTGGTCATGTGACAGTTAAGGAAAAGCTTACCACTGTGGCAGAGAGAAAGGAGAAACATAATGAATTTAGGAACAGCTACACTGTGAATTCCAATCTTATTTCCCATCAGAGACTTCTTATGGGAGACAGACCCCATAAGTGTGATGAATGTAACAAGAGCTTTAATCGAACTTCAGACCTTATTCAACATCAGAGAATCCACACTGGGGAAAAGCCCTATGAATGTACTGAATGTGGGAAGGCTTTCAGCCAGAGTTCTCATCTTATTCAGCACCAGAGAATCCACACTGGGGAGAAGCCTTATGAATGTAATGATTGTGGAAAGACCTTCAGTTGTAGTTCTGCTCTCATTCTCCATCGGAGGATCCACACCGGGGAGAAACCTTATGAATGTAATGAGTGTGGAAAAACTTTTAGCTGGAGCTCCACCCTGACTCACCATCAGAGAATCCACACTGGTGAAAAGCCCTATGCCTGTAATGAATGTGGGAAGGCCTTTAGTAGGAGCTCTACCCTTATTCATCATCAGAGAATCCACACTGGAGAAAAACCCTATGAATGTAATGAGTGTGGGAAGGCCTTCAGCCAGAGCTCACACCTCTATCAGCATCAGAGAATTCACACTGGAGAGAAGCCCTACGAATGTATGGAATGCGGAGGAAAGTTTACTTATAGTTCAGGCCTTATTCAGCATCAAAGAATCCACACAGGGGAGAATCCCTATGAATGTAGTGAGTGTGGGAAAGCCTTCAGGTATAGCTCTGCTCTTGTTCGCCACCAGAGGATTCACACTGGAGAGAAGCCTTTGAATGTAACGGGTATGAGCAAAAGTTCCCTCAGAGTTACTGCTGAATTAAGTATCAGAGAGTCTACATGAAAGAGAGCCACATATTATTTTCCTCACTTCCCCTGAGTTGAAAGAGCTCTTGCCTTACTGCATAAGTGTGAACAAGTTAGGATGTGTCCCTTCTGCCTCAGACCTTTCACTTTAGAAAAGGGACAGATTGGGTGATCAGCAACCTACTAGATTTCTCAGCAGTTACACCAGCCTTGAAAATCTGTAAGGCAAGCAGTGGATAAAGTGCAGGGAACAGAAGGAAGCCTGGGGTCCAGTGAAACTTATTTGGGTGGGAGATTGCACTAACCATTCTTCTTGCACCAGAGGAGCCTTTCTTTCCAAGGTGGGGAGTGGAAGCTTAGTAGGAACAAAATTCCAAGGATTCCACTAGTTGGAGTCATGTACAGTGAGCACAGAAGGCAGCAGAAAGAATGTTCTGGGTCCTCCTATTTGCTGGGAAGGGAAATGGAGACTGTGTTTCAAAGCCACTCTTCCCAATTCAGCTTTAAGATTTGTGTTGTTTTGTGATTTCATAACTTGGAAAAACTAGGTGTTGAGGGGTTTGCTATTTTAATGAGGAGGGGGAAAAGACTCCAGAGAGAATTTCTGTGATGACTGTATCCTGTAGGGCTCTTGGTGCAGCAAGACCACAAATCCAAGAGCAACATCCCCAGCCCTTTTTAATTTTTTTTATTTTGCCTCAGCATCTCACTAAGTTGCTTAGTAAGATGGGCAGACCCCTCATGGTCCTCTCGGTTGTAGTGGGACTGAATGGGAAAGCCATGTAAGCAGTGAATAACCTGAGGGAACAGATCAGAAGCGTACAGCATTGGCCTCTGATTCCTGTCCCCTCTCCCTCTTCCTACTCCTGTGAGGAAAAGTAATTTAATCCCACCCTCTAGTTATTAAGGATGCTTTTGAGGAGCTTACTCAGCCAACCTGTTCTGTCTTCTGTCATCTCGAATATCTAGCCCCAGCAGTCTGAACTCTCCTGACTCCACCTCTGACTTCAGCCACGGAGGATTAATGCAAATAAAGAGAAAGCCCAGAGGAGGCAGGCTGTGGCCTGAGCCTGGTGGAGGGCTCCTGCTGGGTTAGGATGGTGCTCCCTGAGTTTTCCTGGGCCAAGGGATGATCTTCCATTGTGTTTCCCTGATCCTGCTCATCCTGTAGCATTAATGAAGTGCACTATTAAACAGAATAGTTTTTTCAGAAGGAGATTTAATGTTTTTTTTTTGTGTGTGTGCAGGGGCCATATTCATTCAGCTAAAACAGGACACGGTGACTATAAGGGGAATTTGACATTAAACTTGATACGGACAGCCATTTCTCTTTAAATTGCAAACATGAGATTTCCCTTTCTCTCAGGCTCATTCTTCTAAGACTATCTCAGAATCACTCCCACCATCGTATCACATTTAGTATTTTATGAGTTACAGATATTCTGTGTGGCACAATACTTTTTTTTGTACCAGGGATTAAACCCAGGGACACTTAACCACTGAACCACATCCCCACCCCTTTTTATTTTTTGAGACAAGTTCTCACTAAGTTGCTTAGGGCCTTGTTAAATTGCTGAGGCTGGCCTCAAACTTGTGATCCTCCTGCCTCAGCCTCCTGACTTACTGGGATTATGTGGTGTGCTATCATGCCTGGCTGTGGTACAATATATAAGACCAGCAACCAAAAATAGAATGGTGGTACTGGGATATGGGGTCCCTGAGACGAGAGTACTTGGTTGTTGGGTAATCGTGGGCAAATTTAGATTTCTTGTTTTGCCTATTTGCAAAAGGATGTTACAACCATGAAGGGTAGGTTGAAAATCTGAAGAAGTTCAGAAACTGTATGGAGCTCTGGCCTATTTGAAAAGTTTTGGATTGTATATTGTGATTGATCATCTGTCATTGATCATCATTCATTAGTTTCACAAAACTAATGAAACTGATCATTTTGATTAAAATTTATTTTTTATTAGAGATAAATGGTTACACATAGCAACTGGGTTCATCCTGACAAACTCTTACATGCATGGAAATCAATTTCAGTTAGATTTCCCTTTTTCTTACCCAGTTGTTTTAACTTTTAATATTTGCCACATATTTGCAGATTCACTTTATTATTCAAAGTGTGGGCTTGAATTACCCATATTGGAATTATAGATTTTTGAGCTCCAAGTCAGACCTGTATGATTCTGGGAATAGAGTTAAAATTTACACTGAGAAGGAAGAAATAGTCATTTAATAGTTTAAATTTTTCTTTCTGGGTAGAGATTAAAGCTGAGCTAAATCTTGGAAGATAGAGTGAGGTGGAATTCATTTTGTGGGTCTCTGGAAAAGACCTCTTAGCAGGTAAGATAGCTGGGTGATGGGTAGTCACTACATATGAAAGCTTAGTTCATCTGCTAAGATGTGGAAACAGACTGAAATCGCCCCAAAAGGATCTCATGACTGAATTCTTCAGAAGGTCCTAGTAGGGCCTATTGCTGACCATGGTGATTATGTGAAAAGTCAAGATTTTAAAAATAATTTTGAAACTACATTTTACTTACTTTATTTTCCTACATATCATCCCTATTTTCCATGATTTTTTTCTATACTATTATTGTTGGAATCTATTTATTCCCCAGGCTTCAACTAAATGAGTCGTTAGTCTGCATGTGTGGTACTGATCTCACAAGTTCAGTGTTGGGTCTCCAGCATAGCATTCACACTGTGACTTGTTCATTTCAAACTAGATACGCCTTTCCCACTTAGTGTTCCCCTCAAAATATCTGTAAGCTCTTGAGTCAAAACCTGTAGTTTTCTTCATACTCTGTAACCTCCCACATCTAAGTAGTGTTGAGTCTGGGGCAGGTTAGGTAAGCTTGGAATGAGTGGAAAGAGATTATTGTTGGGGAAGTTTTCTGGTTTGAGGAATAGAGTGGCTTTCCAGGTGATGGTAACAGAAGCTGACACTTGGCCTTTCTCTATGCTAGCCTTACTTGGCCCCTTTCCAAGTGTTTTCATATATTCAGTCATTGGATCCTTACAACAATCTGTGTGAAGCAGGTGTTGGTATTATTTCCAATTTATAGACAAAAGCAGTTACCCAGTAAGATAAGATGGTGAGATTAGAGAATAGATCTCCCCTGGGCTGCTCTGCTTGGTGGGTGTCTGGGCCACATGGCCCAAATGATGGCTGTGAGGTGGGGAAATGTGAAGGTTGGCACTACACCAGTCTTATCGTTCAGTGGTTGGAAACCTTTCAGTGGCGTCTCCCTTATAGAAGAATAAAATTATAGAATAAAAATTCTAGCTCAGCCTTAAGAGTCCAGGCTGTCCTTGAGCCAATCTCTACATATCAGAGTAACCTTATGTCTTCTTGTTGCTCTTCTTGACACATGAAACAGCAAAATAACAAAGCCTCAGAAACATCCAACACTCATGCCCGTGAGTTTGCCCACAGGCGTTCTGATGTTCAGCTCTTCACATGCAATCAATAAAAACCAGAGTCAAAGAAACCATTTTTGAGGGGGCAGGGGTTGCTAGGGATTTAGCTCAGGAGCGCTGAGCTACATCCCTAACCCATTTATTTATTTATTTATTTTGATTTTTTTTTTTTTTTTTTAAATTTATAGACAGGTTCTCACCAAGTTGATTATGGCCTCGATAAGTTGCTGAGGGTGGCCTTTCTCTGTTAACAGCTGCTGGGATGGGAGGCTCTCTGTTGCACAGGGCAAAAGCATACCTACCACTCCAGTGTTCATCCTTCTAATTACTGGAAATTAAGTTGGGCTGAATTCTAACCCCTTTTAAATTCCCCTGGTAGCTTCTGATGTTTTCTTCTCAACCTACACAATGTAATCATTTGTAAAATAAAAGAGGGGCTGGGTTGTGGCTCAGTGGTAGAGGGCTTGCCTAGCATGTGTGTGGCACTGGTTTCAACTCTCAGCACCGCATATAAATAAATGAATAAAATAAAGGTCCATCAACAACTAAAGACATATTTAAAAAAATAAGAGGGACAGACAAGATTTGCAAGGACATATTCAGTCATAGCAAAAATAATTTCATTATTAATAGTTCCATTCCAAATCATTCCTGTTATTTGAAATACAACCCAAAGGATTTTGACAAAGGATATGTTGCCAACTAAGAGAAAAGTCCAGTTTAATCTGAACATTTCAGGTAACAGAAGTACGAACCATGGAGTGGTGGAGAAGAGCATCTTAATGAACTGTTCCTTTTTAGTAAAAGATTGTTTTTTAAATCTCCCCAGAGATACTTTTATTTATACATTGTTTTCTAGAGTTTAATAATTTTCTTCCACTTTAAAAATAAAGCCCAGTTAGCTGCTTTGTGTTTGTGTGTTTGTGGTACTGGGGATTGAACCCAGGGATTCTTTACCACTGAACTATATCTCCTAGTCCTTTTTATTTTGACACAGGGTCTTGCTAAATTGCCTGAGCTGACCTTGAACTTGTGGTCCTCCTGCCTCAACTTCTTGTGTCAATAGGATTACTGGTGTGTGCCACCATACCCTGCTAGTTGCATTGCTTTAAATGTAGTCATGAAGAGAAAGGTTCTGAGATGAATAAAAAAAAATTACATAAGTATTTTCATATGCAAAGATAAATATGGTCACCAGAGTAGTTTTCCAGAAATAACACAGGATTCTTCTGAGCTTCCTCCACAAGTGTTTTTTCTTTTGTACTCCCTCTTGGGTTGCTGACATCACCAACTTCCCATTCAGCCTTAGCTAGAAACACAGGAATTCCAGAGGCATTGTTTCTTTCCATCTCCTCACCCTGCCGCTGTCAATCAATATCTGACCAGTCCTTTGTTCCCCATTCCTGTGACTCCCTTGTTGCCATAGGCCATCCTTGACTCTGTCCAGGATTTTGACACCAGCCTTAAGTCTATCTGCTTCCTTCATTCTCCCTCAGTCCATTCTTCATTCCCATGTATGAGTTCTCTTTCTAAAATGCAAATTGGAAGCCACCATCTCAGAATTTTCCTTGGTCCCTCTCATCCTAGGTCAAAGTTCAGATTCTTCATCATGCCATAGGAAGTCCTAGCCCAGCCCCCTTCCCTGTTCTAACCTCTTGACATTGCTCTCACCCACTCCTTCCTACCACCTTCCCCTGGCAGTTTTGCAAAACTACAGTCACAGGGACATAAATACGGTGCAGCGCCTCTGTCCCACTGCACCTGCTATTCCTTCTTCCTGAATGCCCTCCATTCCTGTCCTGACAAACTGTCTTTGAGAACCTTATTATAAGCTTTGCCTGTGCTGTGGGGCCTTTCTGGTCCACTGCGCATACCACCTTCCACCCTGACCAAGTTAATCATTTCCTCGGAGCTGTCTCTGCATCTAGTACATTCATTATTGTGGTTGGCCCCCCAACCCCCGTCATTTATTACACGTTAAAACATTGGACTCCCTCACTGTGGTGGTTTTTTCCCTTACATTTTCACACTTTTCTACCACAAATATATATTACTTTCATAATCAGAAAAAATAGCAGTAGATTGTGTTCTTAGGCCCTGGGTTTGATTTCAAGCATGTGCATGTGTGCATGTGCACACACACAAAGTAAAAGTAATAAATAGCATCCACTGAGCATTTATGATGTGTCAAGCATTCTTCCAAGTGTGTCACAAGTTAACTAATTTAATTTTTATATAAATTCTGTGGTACCTTTACTGCCTTCCCTTTCCCCCTTCAGGAAGGTACAAAATAACTTTGCATATGTAATTTTTTTATTCATCTCTTCATGACTACATTTAAAGTAATGCAACTAGCAGGGTATGGTGGCACACACCAGTAATCCTAGAGACACAGGAAGGCTGGAAAGAGAAGGGAGTTCACCAGATACACAAAAAATGGTGCAGTGAGATTCAGATACAGTTGGTGCCTAAAATCCAGGCTACATCTCTTTTATCCCCAGACTCCCAGAGGGATACCCAACCCTCCTCAAACACCCTTTTCTCTCACCCATGCTTAAAGCTCTTCAACAGCAGTTCAATAAGAAAGCACTTGTACTGTACAGGAACACAATGACGAATGAACCATACATAGTTCCCGTGTTGAAGGGCACCATTCCAGCAGGACATAAAGCCCATATTGATAACACAAGGTAGAATGAGACGCCAAGAGAGGAACAGTAATGGTAAGAAGAGCTGATCCTTAATAACTGCTTACCCAAGTGCCAGCCATTGTTGTAGCTTGTCTTCACA